GAAGAAATGATCTTTAAATATTCTTGAATTTTCCAGATAATGCCAACAACAGCCGACAGGTCAAGTGGAGATTCCGCTGCGGAAAATGTTAAGCCAGAGGACAAGGGGGTCTTTTCAGTTCCCATGTCACAGTTGGCAACAGATACAGAGATGGTAACAGTGAAAGAGCTTCCAGCTGAGAGTGAAACACTTGGTGTAGGATCAGATGAAGAAGGTCGGGGAAACAGCTGTTTTTCGGGAGAGAAGTCCAAGACGCGGTACCCACGACGTCGTAGCAGAAGGAAGCTGTTTTATGAAGAAAGCATTACTAAAGATGACGATTTTATTTGTAAGGAAAAGAGCGTTTGAGTCATCTTCCTAGTTGTCGTTGCGTGGATTTTATAATCTTGGATTAATTTCACTTCACTTAATTAAATTATATACAATAGTTGTGCACTTACGATTGTACATGAGGTAGATAGATTCAGATACCATGATTTTTTTGTCTGCAGATTGCGCAGACTGTGAAGAAGAGAAAGAGGGAGAGTGTCCGTACCATCCATTGTTCCTTATTCTAGATAACCCCGTACGTATGCCATTCATGTCGAACATAAAATGTCATACTCTCATAACTTTGGTTAGATTGAAAACTGAACTGGTCACAGACATAATAATCTTAGACACAAATGCACACGCACAGTTTTAAATAGCGTTATCGTCCCAATGGTATGTTTGGACAGGTTGTTCGAGACGGCAGCGAGAAAGATCGTGCTCGCCTCACAACCCCTTGGCCCCTCACTGTCTGCGACTCGAAAGTGAAGGGGGCAGGAAAAGGCGTGTGGACCAATGCTCATCTCCCAGCCCATCTTGTGTTTGGTCCGTATGAGGGCCGTGTCCTATCTGGCCATCCGGAAGCCGGTAAAGAATCTGGCTATGGCTGGAAGGTTAGTGTATTCTGTGGCGTAAAACATATGATATTAGATGAATGTAACACTGAATGATTTTTTTTGCGGTTTTCTGTAAACCACCAAGTATTTTAAGAGAAAATCCACTTACGCAAAAAGTTGAAAATTTCTTCACCTTCGTGTACTTCCAGATTCGAGGTACTGGAACAAGGAATACGTGCATTGATGCTGTAGACAGTGCAGTTAGTAACTGGATGCGTTACGTCAACTGTTCAAGAACTGAAGCTGAGACCAACCTATCTACATTTCAGTACAAGGGGCAGATCTACTACAAGACGGACTCTGCAATTAGCAGGTCAGTATAATTGTAGTGAAGTCAACTTTTCCTGATCATACGCCTGTGATAACGTGCTCATTAATATTTAAAGATACAGACAAACAATGCCAAAATAATTGTGAACAGGGGGAGCGAGTTGATGTGCTGGTACGGAGACGATTACGGGAAGGATCTGGGTCTGTCAAGAGAGCCGTCCAAGTGGAAACCAGCGAAGAAAGATGTAAAAGGTACGCAAATACAATTTTCATAACCTAATTTCCCATTGTGAAGGAAAAATGTATTCAGAAATTGTTGGAATACAATTGAGATTATATAAATTGATATTGTAAGTATAAAATAGTGTATTAGATGTGTGTACATATGTGTCTGCACATCTATAACATCAATGTATTTAAATACACACACACACACACACATATACATATACATTATATATATATATATATATATATATATATATATATATATATATATATATATATGTATATATACATACATACATATTTGCATACACTCGTGTGTGTGTGTATGTATATATATACACATGTATATATATGGTGAAAATGATATATATGTAAATAAATACTTACACATATAATGATGGTTTTACGTTTCAGATCGGCAGTGCGAATGGTGTGGCTTAGTCTACAGCTCGAAAGATTATCTAACGCGTCATCTAAAAGTGTGCAGAAAGCGTGTTCACACTTACACGCCGCCAATTTGCTCCACGCGAGGAACCAGCAGTAGTGGCTCAACCAAGCAGTGTTTGCGAGAAGAGGCGCCGCAATTCCCGGAAAAGGCGTCTCATGAGACACTGCGTTCGCCAGCATCCGATGAATATAATACTGAGTGTTCAGTTTGTGATTACAAGTGTGAATGTTCTGATATCCCAAATCAACATGTGTTAATACACAGTGGAAAAAAACTGTTGGAGTGTTCTGAGAGTAGGAAAAGATTTGCAGACAGTATAAGCTGAAGGAACCCAAAGAATTCTACCAGAAGAAAGGCCGTTCGAGTGTTCCGAGTGTGGAAAAAGGTTTAGTGTAAGTGGTTCTCTGAAGACACACCAGATGATTCACTCAGGAGAAAAGCCGTTCGAGTGTTCCGAGTGTGTTTAGGGTTGAAGACACACCAGAGGGTTCACTCAGGAGAAAAGCCGTTCGAGTGTTCCGAGTGTGGAAAAAGGTTTAGTGTAAGTGGTTCTGAAGACACACCAGAGGGTTCACTCAGGAGAAAAGCCGTTCGAGTGTTCCGAGTGTGGAAAAAGGTTTAGTGAAAG